CTTTCTTGTGTTCACCACAAACTGTCTTTTTGCATTTGGCACAGGTCATCTTTGACATTCTTTTCTTTTTAGACGTGCAAAGACTGCAATAACGCCTTTTTTTGGCTGAGGGTTCTTCTTCATCATCTGTGGAAGCCTGTACAGCAGATTTTGGAAGAATATTAGACCGACGACTGAGTTGACTGAGAAGGACAAGTTAATACGCGCGCCTAATAAACAGAGATAGCAATATGTTTATTTCGCAGGCGCCTCTGCGACGTAGGTTATCTTTCTCGGGTTAATAATCAGACCGCGGATCTTTATGCAAAATAAAAATGTTACGCATCCGTTGCAAGAAACCGAGACTGCACGAACATTTAATTGCGTTTCGAATAAGCCGAGGGTCAATTCGGGAGAATTTACATGTATGTATTTTTTTTTCTTTTTTTTTTGGTTTTTCGTAATCAAAGATCCTCATTCGGTAAAATCGCACTCGAAAATGTTCGGGTTACGGGTCCTATTGTTCGCCGGGGTATCGCGTCTGTCCATCATTCGCTTGTTCTACTTGCCGTAAACAATACCCGTGATACGGCGTGTTTCTATATTCCTTCTCCGTTGTTGATTGCCAGTTCGTGTCAAATTATTATCGAGGCCAGCCAGTATCGTACGCCTGCCATTGTTTACAATCGCGTGTCCGGAATAAATTGCGCGCCGAGAAAGACCGCGGGCTCGTAAACCAAACATTTCGACCCGCCTTACATCAAAGTTTCAATCTCGATGCATTTTTCGCGGAGAGGATTCGCCCGCGACCACATCGCGCCGTTGCAACGTTCTCGCGCCATCGTGTTGCAGCATCTCGTTGCCGTCACGGTTTTTCGCGCTGGTCCGAATTTTCCGCGAACTCGGATGAAATCGAAGACCAGAGGCGGCAATTTCGGCTCGGATCGCCAGAAAAATCTGACAAAGTCTATCGATCGACCCGACGTCGTTCCACCACAAATATTTCGATTCTGCAGCTAATATCGTCCGACGATGTCGGATGGAACGACGGACGGTATTTCGCGACGCGAGAGCTAAATGAAAATTAAAATGAAAATTAATGAAACGGTTAGACGAGACGAGAGGAACTCTCTTCGAAATTTTCTAACGAAATCGCGTTTTTCCTTTCGGAACGTTCGCCGCGACGATTGTTTCAACAAATGCAGTTTACGCGCGTGCATCGCGACATAAATTACTTTGTAATCCTCGACGCGAAATTTTGTCGTCCAATTATGAACGACACGGCAGTCTGCGTGATAATTTTTAGCGTGCAATTAAAAAGGAAATGAAATCTACCGTCGTTACGGAGACGGCTTGTAACGTTACATTTTTCGCGTGTAACAATAACGTGAAATATGTAAAACGAAAGTAACGAGAGAGGATGTTCTAATTTCTCTGAGCCTTTAATTCGCAGCCTAAAAATGTATCCGACAAATTTATTTATTACTGTTCCGATTTAACGGCGAATGACATCAAATGTTAATCACAATTAACAGCGAATGACGAATAACATCCACGAAAAGAAGTCCTAACGTAAGGAAATAAATTGAAATTCGAATCAAGATTGAATCTCGATCATGTTAATGCAATTAGTAATCTCGTTGTTGTAATTATCAATTATTTACCACTTTCAGGAATCCCATAACAATATGATAAACTATAGGCAAGAAATAAAATTCTGATTTATCCGAGCTTTTAATTCGTAGCCACCGAAATATATTTATTTATTGCTGTTCTAATGTTATAATATAATAATAAATATAATAATTTAATAATAATATAATATAATATATATAATATATATTTTATTATTTATTTAATATATATTATATATATTATATAATATATATAATATAATATAATATAATATAATATAATATAATATAATATAATAATGTTAAAATATATATTATATCAATATTAAATATATAAAATATCAACGAACTGACAATAACATCCGAAAAGAGGCGGGTCTAAAATAAAGTTCTAAAATAAATTTCGAATCGAGATTGAATCTCAACCATGTAATATCAATTATTTAATAAACTGTAAACGCGAAGGAAAGTACGCAGTAATTAAAAATCTTTCAACTAAATGACCGGATCACAATTGAAAACAATTTCACATTATTAAAGCGCTCAATTACCAAACATTTAACACGTTTAGTGTCGCGATGGGTGACACTAATTTTTAACCAGCTTTTGTAATTCATTTCGATCAATTTGATCTTTTTACTTTCTGTACCGTTCATAAAATCGCTTCGATATTGTGGGAATTTACGATATCGATTTTCGGCACTTAACGCGTTAACACGTTCATTTCTCACCAGCTTTCAAGATTCTTTTTTGTTGCAGCATACTCTGCATACTTTGTTGCAACAGAATTTGATCGATCAGAACGTTTGGAGAGCAAACGAGATGAAATACCAATCGCAACGGTAAATTTTATCGTTCGACTTTCGGTTTCATTAATTAAATTACCTCGATCTTTGTAATCGATATTCATTACTTAACACGTTCGCGAACGTGAATGCTGCACCATTCATTTTCATTGTGATGCAACACGACACGAATGCTGTAGCATTCAAATTTATGAGCCACATTATCATGCGTTCAATTCTATATATATAACGTTTATTCGTTGAAATTGTTATACGCTTTAATGTGATGGCAAAATGACACGTTGAATATTTTCGTTTTATTTTATTTTCTTCTCTTCGTGTATAAAGAAATATAACTATTATCGCTAGATTTGCCGAGCACTAAAAGCAGCTGTTTTCTATCAGTTCATAAAATTAACAAATCCTAAAAATCCTCGTCGTATGCTTCTTATCAAAATCTTATTGTCAGCTTCGCAAATATTAAATGATTCTTAAAAAGAGGATATATTTCAAAATTCACTGATTTTTCCCTCGTTAGACGCGAGTAAAACTCGATCTAACCAAAATCAATCAGATCTGTGATAAAAATGTGTTAAAAATTAGACCGCGGATCTTTATGCAAAATAAAAATGTGCATCCGTTGCTAGAAACCGGCACTGCATACACATTTAGTTACGTTTTGAATAATTTTAACGTGTTACAACTAATGTAATGAAATCATTAAATTGTTGTCACAGTGTCAGTATTTTGTGTTCCATCTACTCGCTTTTGTCATAAATGCATAAAATCCGCAGTCTGTTGACACTGAATTTTCGGAGCGAGTCAATTTGACTCATTTACGATTTTATTGCTATATGTATAGAAAAACTTAAAGAATTTTGTTCAAAACATACGTTGATTTTTAATAGAATTATGACCAACATATGTTTTAAAAGAATTATATATATATATAAATTATATAAATTAAATTAAATATACAAATGAATTAAATTATAAATAAAGA